GTGGAAGCAGGAAGGTCACTTGAGTTCAAGACCCTGTCTCTACAAAAAAGTAAAATTAAAAAGTTAGCAAGTATGGTGGTATATGCCTGCAGTCATAGCTATTCAGGAGGCTGAGGTGGGAAGATCACTTGAGCCCAGGAGTTCAAGTGAGCTATGATTGCACCACTGCACTCCAGCCTGGGCAACAGTGTGAGACCCTGTCTCAAAAAAAGAAAAAGCCTGGGTGCTGTGGCTCACACCTGTATTCCCAGCACTTTGGGAGGTGGGTGGATCACCTAAGGTCAGGAGTTTGAGACCAGGCTGGGCAACATGGCAAAACCCCGTCTCTACTAAAACACAAAAATTAGACGGGTGTGGTGGTGCACACCTGTAGTCCCAGCTACTTGGGAGGCTGACGCAGGAGAATCGCTTGAACCCAGGAGGCAGAGGTTGCAGTGAGCTGAGATTGTACCTCTGCACTCCAGCCTGAATAACAGAGCAAGACTCCTCAAAAAGAAAGAAAAAAAAAAGGACAACATAGGGCACCCAATCCAGTATGACTTTAACTAGTTACATCCATAAAGACCCTATTTTCAAATGAAATCACATTCTGAGCTCTGAATAGACATGAATTTGGGGAGACACTGTTCAACACAGGAAACCTCCCAAACACCATAGCCCTAGGCAACCACTAATCTACTTTCTGTCTCTAGATTTGATTATTCTGAACATTTTTAGTAGGGTTTTCAGTTTTGCACTCTGTTGAAAAATGTGGCTAGTTTGAGAGTGAAGTATCCATTTATTATATTACAACATAGCTATATATGACAGTCTCCTATATAGAATATATAGCACCTGTTGAGATATTTTAAATACACTAGCATTTCTTTTTAGGCTGTGTCAACTGACTAGAACACACTATAGTAAATATATGGCCAGCTTTGATGTGAATTATAATGAAGTGTGTTTTTTTCCTTAGTAATCTGTATTATAATTCCTAATTAGTGTTTTTTTCTGCCTTGGAAATTTCTACAGAATTGTCAATATCAGGATAGTAGGTAAAAGTGCACCCACTATACTGACAAGGACATTTTCTATTTTGTTCCCCAAAACTTCCTGTCCTGCAAAGTGCTCTGCTTTCTTTTTAGTAAACGTTTGAGAAGTTAATGTTATATCCTTTGCAGTGATACTATTTTGATGACAAAGTAATTCAGTTTATGCTTTCAAAAATCACAATTTGGACATAAAAGTTTAGCATCTTAAAAAAAAATTGTTGCTATTTAAAAAAAAATACCTTTGTGACTTTGTGGCCTAGTTCGCAAAAACTTGACATATTGTCCCATGAAAATTTTGATTCATTAATTATTTTGACATGACAACATTACTAACAAAATCAGTCATTTAATAGTTATTCCACCAAGCGGTCTATATTCCTTTTGCCATGTATACTGTTAACAGCAAAAATTTTGGATTGGCTACATATGCCAGGGTAAAGGAGGTATTTAGAGGAAATTTTGCTTTCTATGATTAATACTATTAAATATACTAAAGATTTGAGAAAATCCAATTTACTTCCACATGGCACCAAACCACCTGTCACTGAGAGTCATTATTTGGATTCTAAGTCCAAATAATTTGTCCTTTTAATGAAAGGACATTTTACAGGTGGCATCATTCAGCATTTGATAAATCCTTCCTTCAGACATCCTCCTCCCTCTTTACAGTTGCCTCAGAAGACTTTAAAAAGCTTGAATCCACTTTTATCTTCCTAACCTTCCTCCCTCCCAAGATGATTCACACTACTTTGGAAAAAATAAAAATTAAAAAAAAAGTCTGTTCTGGGAAATTGTTTGAAATGTTACCCTTACTAACTAGAAATCTTTTTACTCTCCAGAGCTTTACGCCCTCATAAAAGATTTAAAATGGGCTTCAAGATCTAGTTTGGGTCTTAAAGAAATTCCCTCAGACTTTATCTTCTAACCCTCTTTAATTTGTTCCCATTATCTATATTTTCCAAGAGTACTTTATTTCTATAATTGTTCTTATATATAGTATGCCGTTCTTGTTTCATGTTATCCTTTCTGACAATACTTTAGTTTCTTTAACTTTTAAAAATATTTTTGGTGTTTTTGTTTCCTCTAACTTCCTTTTCTGTTTCCTTGCTTTGCTCTTTGTTGGCATCTGCATTCAAATATCTAGACCCTGACTGTGAATTTGTATTAAAAATGAGACATTTGAAAATTGATAATTCAGGGTTACAAGGGTGAGCTTAATCAGTGAACTTCATTATATAATGATGAGATGACTAACTATTTGTTGGTGGTCCATAAGAGATCCATAGGTATTTTTCTGGGATGTTTGACTCACTATTCAATAAACATAGGCCCTCTCTCTACCTGATGTCCTGGAATCTGAAGTCTCTCTTGTTCCCTTTTATTGGGGAGGAATCCTATCTCCTATCAGGTTGAGTCACTTGTTTCTTCCAATTGGAAGAGAAGGCAGCAGTATTTTAACTCTGCCATTTGAAGAAATCAGAAGTTTCCTTCCTGTAACCCCACTCTCTTAATTTCCACCTACACCATCACCAACCAATCACTACCAAGTTCTGCAAGCCCTAGGGTTTCATTGTCACACACATTCTACCTAGACAGCCTCAACCAGCATTCTGGCCTTGCCCCTCTCTACATTCACCCAGTACTGGGCTTACCCTCACTTAAGTTTCAGCCACCATTGGTATTATTTTAGGTCTTTGATCCCAGCAAAGTCCTTACACATGCTGACATTTGCAAGAAGAAAAGTCAGTGGCTACAAAGCAATACTGGTTCATACAAGAAGATAATAAATATATTAAGGTTAATGAAAGCCAAGTTTCTAGTTATCAAGGGAGTTAGAAATATAGGGGGAAAGTAAAAATGAATCATGATTTTGGATTGAAATTGGAGATCAGTGCAAACTCTTTTTTTTTTTTCATAGCCTTAGACATAGAAGGCATAATTTTCAATGTATAGAATATAGAAATATGTTTGGTGTAAATTTTTTTTTTTTGAGACAGAGTTTCACTCTTGTTACCCAGGCTGGAGTGCAATGGCACCATCTCGGCTCACCGCAACCTCCGCCTCCTGGGTTCAGGCAATTCTCCTGCCTCAACCTCCTGAGTAGCTGGGATTACAGGCATGCGCCACCATGCCCAGCTAATGTTTTGTATTTTTAGTAGAGACGGGGTTTCACCATGTTGACCAGGATGGTCTCGATCTCTTGACCTTGTGATCCACCCGCCTCAGCCTCCCAAAGTGCTGGGATTACAGGCTTGAGCCACCGCGCCTGGCCAATTTTTTTTTATATGTATGTATTTCCTAGCAATGCTTATGAGAGCAAAGACATCCCAGTAGCAATCAGCACACTTAAAGTTCAGATCTTGATTTCTAAGTAGCACCAAAAAGATCCCTGGAGGAATACTGATTCCAGAACTGGAGCAGAGAATGTAAAAATAAGCCTGGAACATCTCTAGACCAGAAACTAAAAAAGCGCTCAAGTAATCATGAGGATTTCTTTTTCTTTTTCTTTTTCTTTTTTTTTTTTTGGTCCTTTTTCAAATGTGCAAAGGAGCTTAAAGGGGTTCCCACTGGCCAAACTGGAGATGACTTGAGCATCAAAATAAATGATAGTAATGGATTATAACTCACTGAATAGCACTGGAAGTCATGAGTCCATACTGATATGAATAAGTGAATGAGCTAAAAAATTTGGATGAACAATCAGATTTTTATATACTTACAGAGTACCTCCCCACAAAATTCTTATTAATAAAAAGGAAAATAATAACTTTATGGTAGAACAGCTTGGCAGACACCACCATAAGCAAGTGATCGATTGAGCATTACAGGTAACAGAACAAATTGAAATTGTGCACAACCTATAATGAATGTGAAAACCACAGCATCATTTCTGTGATAATCCTGCCAAAGATGCATAACTTGAATCTAATCAAGAGAAAACATCAAACAGACATGCACTAAGGAACTTCTGCAGTATAACCAGCCTGTAATCTTTAATAGTGTCAAGGTCATGAAAAGTAAAGACAGTCTTCCAAACTGAAGGAGAAACAAAAAATATGGCTAAGCAACAATGATTCTGAACTGGACCCTTTCCCTAAAAATGACAATATTGGGACATCTGGCAAAACATGAATGGAGTCTAAGGATTAGATAGTAGTAGTGCATCAGTGTCAATGTCCTAATTGTGTTGTGGCTATGTAGAATGCCCTGGTTTGTAGAAAATATACAATAAATATTTGGGTGATGGGGCATTAGGTCTGCAATATAGTTTCAAATGGTTCAGAAAAAAAAAAGTTACTTGTACTAAAAAGGAAATCTTCTCTGACCACAGGACAGAGGACAAAAAAGATTTTTAAAAGTTATTTGTACTGCTATTTGTAACTTTTCCATATATTTGTTTCAAAATAAATGAATTGCATTGATTAAAGAAAATAAAAAACTAGTTTGGACTAGTTCCCATTCCTGTAGATTCTAGTGTCTTCAAAATCCAAACAAATTACATGAGCAAGAATGATGACTCATTTCTAGCCCAATAATCCTAAAACCACCAACACAAATCTGTAATCCAACAAAGTCAGATTTACTGACTTATTGCAGTCAATGAGACTGCACACCAGAGGAGCTGTGGGGTGTCTCACTGTACAAAATAAAAGGTCGTTATTGTAAGGTTTTTTTTGGGGGGGAGGGGGGAGGGTGAAGTTTAAATGAAATCTCAAAGCATAACTGTGTGTAAAAGCATTAACATCAGGTCCGGACCGAGAATTGAATGTAGGGCATGTTTCCTTGGAAATTGCAAGGTTAAGAAAATAATGTTTTCAGAAACCGTTTATCTGAAGCTCTACACCTGGGTAGAAACTGAGGCTGCTTCTCTGCGTCAAAGAGACTTAAAGCCTCCAGGTAAGTATGGGACGTTTCACTTGTTCTGATACAATTTCAAATAGCAACGTTTATGTGGAGTTTAAAGAACAAGGTTTCTCAGTGAGTAGTAAGAATATAGTACCGTACGTACTCAAAGAGGTAATAGTTTTCCGTTGCAGTATGTTCTAAAAGAAACATTGTTTCCGTTAATGTCACATCTAGCTTTATTTGACTGTTATCCATCCAGATGAAAGGCTAGGCAGATTGTTACTTTCTCAACCTGAGCTAATTTTTACTCTCAGCAAGAACGACTCGGTCTATCAAATCACAGCTAATTCTCTCAGGGACTTGCTGAAATTCTGCGTTTGCCTGCTCCGCCTTCCTCTCATTTTGGACCTCAAACCTTCCTGTAGTCCGAGGCCCTGCACTGGGATCAAAGGCGCCTCCCGTTCTTCACCCTAACCATTCAAGCATCCCGCCTTTCCAGGACACCCTCAAAGCGACAGAACGGTCGCTCTTCTCAAGTCCTATTGGCTCAAGTTCACGCCTCTCCTGGCACTGGGTGAGACAGGAAGAAAAAGGCCTTCCCCAGGCGCAAGAAGATGACGTCACAGTAGCCCGGCCAGTACCGCGGCCGCCTGGGGCTCTCTGCCTACTGACTGGCGTCTACCGGTGCCGATCGAAGACTCCTCAGTCAGCGACGCCTTCGCAATGGCCATTTGTCAATTCTTCCTTCAAGGCCGGTGCCGCTTTGGAGATCGGTGCTGGAACGAACATCCAGGTGCCAGGGGTGCAGGAGGAGGACGGCAACAACCGCAGCAGCAGCTTTCAGGTGACTCTCCTCGGACTCCTCCGCGGTAGCCGAGCCGGGATGGGCCCGCTGGCGGGGACCGGGCGACGCGTGTGTCCGGGTACTGGTGACCCCAACGTGCCCGCGTCGCAGCCTTGCCGGCCCCACTAAGCGGGCCCTGCACGATGTTTGTAAACCGAGAGTTTTATCTGCTTATTATTTATGTGATCGGTTTTTATTGAGCTTCTGAGAACTGGGGTTTGGGCCTGGACGCTTGTGTACGAAACTGAGTTTTTAAATCGGAAGTACCTATCGAAATTGCTTTGTAGGTGAATGACCGTAATTTAATATAATTTTTACTAAATTGTTTTTTCGATGGTGAGGCTAGCAGCTTGGGTCAGAATCAGGACTTCTCATTTTGGAGAAATTGCGGCCTTCTTTGAAGATCTAATAAAACCTATAGAGCCATACCGCAGAAAAACGCACCTGCTCATAAATTTGGGGTGAAATTGGGAAGGTGGGACCCCCAGTTAAGAACTCTCCTGGTTATGTAGAAAGGGGAGGTGGAGGGCCACGTGGATCTACTCCCTAGGCCTAGATCATTGTCAGAACTTTTTATCTTAAAGGAGAGTTAAGACATGAAACCTTAGGAGAACACAAGATTTTAAAGACCGGGTTAATAATTAGGTGCTGTCTCCCTTCCCCTCCTTTAGGGCTATTCATCTGACCTTTATTTTTTTATTTTATTTTGAGACGGAGTTTCGGAGTTTCGCTCTGGCTCCTATGCTGGAGTGCAGTGGTGTGATTTCAACTTACTGCAACCTTTGCCTCCCTAGCTGAAGCGATTCTCCTGCCTCAGCCTCCCAAGTAGCTGAGATTACAGGTGCCCGCCAACATGCCCTTTAGAATAAGATACCATTAACTCCTACTTGAGGGATCTAGTGTAGCAATCTCCACTCTTTTCTTTATCGATTTATTAAGGTAATTAGAGTTGCAGGATGAACTTTCACATCTGGGCATATATGTCATTCCAGCTTTTAATATATTTCATGCTGTATCACCTAATTCAGTCAGAAACAAGATGAGTTACCTTAATCTTAACCCCAACTAGGAAGTGATAAGTAAATGAGATTACTAAAGTGGCTATTTTTAGCTCATTTTTATATTTATGAAATATTGGAAAGCTACTCATAGAGGAACTACATCCATTTTTTCACGTGTAAATATCTGGTATAATCTCCCTGTGAAAATAGGTGTGTAGGTGTTTGCCCAGAGAAAAGACTGAATCAAATAGACCTAGACATCTATCCAAAAACAGGGGGTAGAATCTAATCTTTTATATTCAAAAAGCTTTCATTCAATGTCTATTTTTCAGCCTTTACTACAATATAAGGCCTGGTAGGGGAGCAAAGAATGATAAAAACACAAGTTCTTATCCTGAAGGAGTTTATGATTTATGATGCATGCCCTCTATCAACTTCACTATCAAGCAGTTGTTTATTCAATAAGCTTATGTTAGCTGAATTTAATAATATCAATATTTTTGTATATTTCTCTATATTATTTTCTTCTCAATCTCAAACAAAAATGCAGTTGACCACTATGTGATTTGTTGATATTACAACCTAACTATGTAAATCAAAAATGAAGAGATTGTCATTTAAAATGAGTGGAAATGTAATGCTTGTTAAATCTTTCTGTAATGTCTAAACATACTAAGACACAATTAGGATTTTTGAGATTTAAAAGAACAGTTGCTGGGCACAATAGCTCACACCTGTAATCCCAGCACTTTGGGAGGCTGAGGCGGGTGGATTGCTTGAACCCAGGAGTTAGAGACCAGCCTGGGCAATATGGCAAGACCCCATCCCTACAAAAAGTACAAAAATTAGCCAGGTGTAGTGGTTTGCGCCTGTGGTCTCAGCTGCTCAGGAGGCTGAGGTGGAAGGATTGATTGAGCCTGGGAGACTGAGGTTACAGTGAGCCGAGATCATGCCACTGTACTCCTCCCTGGGTAACAGACTGAGACCCTATCTCACTTAAAAAGAAAAGTTACTAGTAAAGTTATTTTGTTTTATTGTGTATTTCAGGTAATAACAGACGTGGATGGAATACCACTAGCCAAAGATATTCTAATGTCATCCAGCCATCCAGTTTTTCCAAATCCGCACCATGGGGGGGCAGCAGAGATCAAGAAAAGCCATCTTTTGGTTCTTTTGATTCAGGAGCTTCAACTAACAGGAACGAGGGCTTTGGATTGCCTGAGAACCCATTTGCTTCACAACCCGAGGAGCAGAAAGATGAAAAGAAACTTCTGTAAGTGAAAGCTTTCAGGAAAAATACTGTCCATTTGCTTATGTTTTTTTCAAAAGCACTTACAGTCTTTGGTTTTTGTGTTTTTTTTTTTTTTTGTAACATCTTTTCACAATACAGTATTTTCTTCTTTTAAAAAATGCATTATTTTAAAATCAGAGTAAGCAAAAAGAAGAAAAACCACCCACGATGCTATCACTCATAGATAGCCACTGTTTTGCTTTGTATTATCCTAGACTTTATTTCACTTAAATATATATCATTTTTCTATAATAGTAGAGTGCCTTCTTTTTTTTTTTTTTTTT